AAAAAAGCAGTTTTTCTTCCAGTCATTGTACGTTTCTGCTCGATAGCGAAGCAGCAAGGCGACAGCACTTTCCGCTTCTGCTTGATCCTGAATTCTTCTGCATCCACGTAACTTCGTGCAAGCCTATAATTCCCTAGCTGTGTTAATAAATTCCTCTGTTCTGCTTTTGTTTCGTGCTTTTGCTGTGCTGTTTTTCTCCACTCTGTTCTGCTTGAGTAACATGGCTTTGGTTTGCAGTGAAAAAAGAATACGAGAAATCCTTCACTGTGCGAGAGACTGCCACTCTGCATGACAAAACTGTGAATGATTTGAAATGCGAAGAAGCAAAATGTGGTCCAGTTAATCCGGAAAAGAAACGGGGGGAAGAATGGAGGGACCCAGCGCCGAAAGGAATGGAAGAACGGAGAAATCCGATCCAGAAAAGAAGGGAAGGGTGGTGGAGTCCAACCCAGAAAAGGGCGGATGAAAGGCCAATGAAATATCCACATACATTTTATAATGCCAATGGAGCAGGGCAGCGAGTTACCGATAACGGTAATGATAATGGTGCCAGTAATAATTTAGAATTGATGAATCGTAAAATGAGAGATTCAACAATATCATCGGCTGCTGCTGCTAGTTCTGGTGAACTGAGCGAACCTGCACCGAGGTGGCGGAATTTTCGAGAAAGTACAAATAAGTTCCGCGAAACATCGGGACATGTAAGTCAAAAGACTACTGAATCGAAGTTCGAGCAGGTATATGAAAACAGTGCCAAATCAGGTTTGCAACACGCATCAGGATGCTCGGCATTGGATCGTCCACAGTTGATTTCCCGCGATGTAAATGACGCTGCAAAGGAAAACGGTGGGAAACAATCATTCAGCCAGCGGGCATTTGTTTCATTCAAAACCAGAGATGCAGTGAGTGAAAGGGGCAATTTTTCGACGTTTCCGGGTCGTGAAAATCGGCGTACGGAATATTTTGATGAAAGAGACCATTTTCGGCGTAATGATAACAACAGACACCAAGGATTCCCGCGCCGGAACGATCCCAGATACGGAAGAATGTCATTTTTTAATCGAAATCGAGAAACGGCTTCTCAGAATCGATTCAGGGATCAGAACGGGGTGGAACCAGTCAATCAGTCAGCTGCCAGATCGTTCGGTAAATTTCTTGTTTTTAGAATAATTTGGTTGTCTGTTTGTGCGCTGGTGCTTGTGTGTGAGCACAAGTTTATTTCTGTAACAATATGCTTTTGCTTCGCCTTGCACGAACTAACGTCGTCTTTTCACTTCATTTTTTGGAATGCCATCTCGAGACAGGCTGTAGCAAATTGGCCATAGAGGGCCTACTCTACACCTTTTCGCATTTTCCTTCTCTGTTATCGTAGTTGGGATACTAATCGAAATCCGTTTTGTGCAATTTAATAAGTCGTTATCGCCACTGTGCTCAAGCGTCTTATTTGCTTATGCAGCAGCATTTAAGTGGTTCATCTGAAACTTAATTTTGAATAACCAAATTGCCTGAAATCTTGGCTGGATTGGTTTATTATGCGTTTGGTGCTGTGTAACAACAGTACAAAACGCATATTGTCACGGGGTTGTCTCTGTGTGTTCCACATTTTGTCTCGCATTTTCAACTCGGTAACCACGAAAGCTAGGCGGCTGAAATTTTAGTATAGTGCTTCCCGCCAACGGATGATGCAGCAGATTTAAATTTAACCTTCCTGTACCCGTGGGTAATACGGACGGCCCCGTAAAAGTTTTTCGGGTAAAATCAGTATCTTGGGAACCACGAAAGCTAGGAGGCTGAAATTTTATGGGTATGTCCCCTGACCACGTGCGTCCCGGAGAACTTAGACTCAACCTTCTCGTGCCTGCGGGTAACACGCACGGCCTTGTAAATTTTTAGTGGGTAAAATCATTATTTCAGGAACCGCGGAGGCTAGCGACTGAATTTTATGGGTATGCCCCTTGACTACGTGTAACCCTGAAAATTTAAGTTCTGTTTTCCCGTGCACTTGGTTATCGCATACGGTCCCGTGAAGGTTTTGGCGGAAAATTATCTCGGGAATGATGAAAGTTAGAAAGCTGAAAGTTGAGGACGATAGTTTTTGCCGCTTCAGGTTTCTCGCAAACTCAAATATAGCTCCCAATTATGCAGAGGTCTTACATAAGAACACGTGAGAATTGTGATGTGAAAGTCTATGAAAGTCGCTAGCTCGGAAGCCAAAAAACTACAAGGTTGAAATTTGGAGGGACATTCCCCATCTTTGTTTTCAAATTCAGCTTTCACATACCGGCACGTGAAATTTTTAGTGAGAAATTCCTCACCTTAGGAACCAGACAGCATATTTATTGTCTCTCCGTATACGAAAGTGTAAAACTGTTATATTTTTAGTAAACAAACGTCCGCTGAACGGAATTGCGCAAACGGTTGATCGCACCGGCTACCGTAGTGCGCTTCGCTATTTATTCAAGTAGCCTCTCTGGGGTTCGAATTTGGGTGATCAAATCGCATGAATTTTTGGTTTGGGCAAAAGAAACTGCAGTTTTGAGGAGTTAAAAGTGGAACTGTTGTTTGGGGATTTAAACATTTGGAAGTCGGTTTTGAATGATTTTACTACCTAGGACTTGAGTGTGTACAATTGAAGTGTTTTTGCATAAAAAAGCACATATTATGTAATTTAGTATATTAGATAAGGCATCGTGCACAATTTCTAGGTGAGAGCGAAAATTAATTTCGCTTCTCAGGGATTTCACGGTCTTGAATTTTTTGTTTTCAGCTCATACATCAGAAAAATCGGAAACGTTTCAATCCAGACAGCGATCAGCCTATGAAGAGTATAATTCAAATTCCATGGAAGCATCGTTGCCTGATAAACTGTTTGTGGTGTGTGCATTATCCATTACGTATCCATCGCAATAATATTATTAACATGAGATATTAATGCTGAGGGCCTGGACAGTCTTGGATTTATCCAAAATAACCAAAAATTTTTAGGATTGGTTTGCTAGATGTTTAACAGATTCAAATGGAAGTGCGTTTTGCTCCTCTTCTTTTTGGAAGGTGCATACCCCATTCCTTCTGGCATTTTTATGGTCTCTCAGCTCTTCTGCTAACTGTTTTCCATGCGTGTCACCTGTGAGTTACCAATCGCATAGCACTCTTCAAAAGTACCGGTCTCCACATCTGGCGGGTAGGACTTCTTCATGAAAATGGAATCAAACCACTCTCCTTCACATCTGATCGCGACATGCTGGACCACTGCAGCATCGTGCCCTATGCTCCAAGCATCTGCTTGGAGCATCTAGATTCTGCACGAACGGCATACATACTCTGTATCGTCTGGCTACTGCACCCTGTCAAGCATTCACTTTTAATAGTTGTCGGCTTTTTGTGGGACTTCCGCGACATCACATTCGATGCTGCCCGTAAACACGTCATGAGGGGTGAGTGATAAATTTTGCAATCAGGTCAAAATTAAATTCGCTCCAGAATTTCAATTTTTGTGGTCGACATAGAAATTTAGAAGTTGTGGTAGCGTTTTGCCAGCAACGACTAGGGATTACTTTCCGAAAGTGGGAAGCCTGTTGAGCAGTTTTGAGATATTCCAACTCCGTGGCATAACAACTATGTCAGTGTTACCTTAAAGATATGGAGAATCAAAGAACCGTGAACGTATCGGGGTTTATCATAGGTTAATTTGCAACTAATGTCTTTACCTGCATATTCGCGCTTCTTACCATTATTTCCAATCCAGCAATAGCCTCAACAATAGTCTCTCAGTTATGAATTATAGCAAATATAAAATATTAGAGCCTTGTCTGACTTCTTAGTCTGACTTTCCGCTTGCGTAGTTGGCAGCTGTTAAATCTGTCTTGATCAGTGTTACATCGCTTGATAGTCAGCGTGCTGGCGATTCTGACATTCGGTTCTTTTCTTGAAGAAATTTCAGCTCAGCGGCTTTCTTGGCTAAAACATTTTGCAAAGCCATTTCAAGATAACCATGTTTTTTGAACATCATTAGCTGATTCGAAATGATGGCGCTTGTTGATTACGGCGGGGTATTTTATCGAAATTGAATTTTATAGTGTTACTTTAAAAAGTGAAGAAATTACATCCTTTCTTCATTTCTTATATCTGTACTGCTTGACTGTTTTAAATGGCCTTGGTGATAAAAAATAATTGGCCAACGCATCGGCTGCCAGTGCGAAGATGAGTTTTTTACACAGTTGCCCGCAGTTTTTGTTGCCACCGGCACCAATTTTTCCGGTAATACTTCTAACTAAGCAAATTAAGACTGGCCGCCAGGACTGCCATGAAGCACCCGCCTAAATTTCAGCTTTCTAGCTAGTCTGGCTCCCGAGTTAGCAGCTTACCCGAAAAAAAATTTTACGTGCCCGTACTTGGGAACCACGCATATCCGGGAGCTGGTTTTGAGCTCATTAACAGTTATATGGATGGGGAGCATTCCAGTCATCTAACTTCTCAGGTTCCCGAGTTAACGACTTACCTGCGAAAAGCTTTCACGGGCCCGCACTTGGGTACCACGCAGGTGAGAGCGCTTTTTTTGGGGTTTGAAGCTCGTATTTGCATGTAGATTAAGTTTCCAAAGTTTCAGCCCTGTAGCTTTTACAGGTCTCGAGATGAAAAATCAGTATAAATGCACACACAGACACACGGACATACAAACTTCTCATCAACATGCATTTCCAGCATTGCATAGATGCAAAAAACTCATAATTAAGATCTTGTCAATGCTGAACTTTTTTTCTAACTTTAAAACTCATGCTTGTTTTCAATATGTCAATATGAAACCTCCGGACTCTCTTTTTAAAATAGGTCTTGAAATGCATTTTTACTTTTCACAAGTTGAAAAAACGCTAACATTTCATCAGCCATTTTTAGGCCGGCACCCGGATGATCCCAGAGAAACGAACATCATCGAATATCGGTGGGCGAACTTACAGAAATGAAAATTTCGGGCAAAAATCAGCAGATCGACCGAGGCGTGGAGCTTTGCCGCCTCTTTCGGAAATTGATCAAGAGCATAATCACAGTCCCGACAGGCGTCGTGAGCATAATCACAGTCCCGGCAAGCGTCGCAGGCGTTACGACGATTCTGATATTCGACGTATGTCTTGATATTTTTACATTTTCATAATTTCCTCTCTTTTGCATATTTATATTTTAAATTTTGTCTTTCTCGGAAACTGCGAAAATCCTGTTTGGCTCGACCACATTGAGATGTGAGTTGCGATGACGAAGAGGCGGAGGGAATGAGGGAGGAGGGATTAGTGAGCTGGAGGCGGGGGAAGGGAGTGAGTGTTGAGGTGGTGATTTAGATTTCTGCGTCCTAAGCTGCGT